CTGCCAAAGCGACGGGGTGTTGTCAGAGAAGGACCCTTCAGCAGAGGAACAGGCTTCCTCCGCCAGCCCACAGCCTGGGGAGCGCCTCTTCCCTGTCCTTCTCCCTCAAGTTCCCTGGTTGAGGCCGCTGCAAACACCACACGTGACTGAGGAAGCGCAAAAGCAAGAGGCATCGCTCCCTTGTCCCCGGCTGAAGAAAGGGCTTGGCCGGGGCAGATTTAAATTCATGGGAAACGTACCTTTTCCATTAATTCCTGAGCGCAGGTTCTTTAGCACAAGCCCTGACAGCAGCCTTCTAGCTTCCCCGGCCTCTACCTCTGATTAATCTTTTTAATTGTTATGCCAGAAGAAATCTAATCAAACTCCTTTACATATTGCTCCGGAGAGCAGCCCCCTCCTCTCCCTGCAGGGCCGGCGACGTGGCCGGCAGCCAGCTACACCAGCGGAGTGCAGAGCAGAGCCCTCGGGTCTGACACTTATCCCCTCGCCGGGGGTCCCCCCGAGCCCGGGACGGGACAAGGCCGCGAGGACGGGACGGTGCTTTGTGCCACGCGGGCTCTGCGGCTCACGCAGGTGGGGGAGCCCCTGCGCGGCACGGCGGGGCGGGGGGCAGGACGAGGCACGCTGCAAGGGGGAACAGCAGAGCTATCAACTAATGAGCTGCTCCGTGAGCAGCAGAACTAATCAATAGGGAGGATGTTGTCTGGGTACTCAATTCCCCGGGGCCTCGTAAGTGCTGGAGCACTCGGAACAGCCAGCCCATGAGGGCTCTGCGGTGCCTAGCAAGGGTCAAGGATGTTTCCCTTCCAGAGGCATTAATGGGATCCCTCTTTTCTGCCCACTTCCAAGTTCACGAAACCTGTAGTATCTCAGCATCTTTGAGGCCTCAGAGCCCACTCTGATGGGAATCTGCAACTGGGCTCCCGAGAAACGATGGCAGAAGCACACACGTGTGCTGCCACGCTCCGTTTCCTTTGGAAATGGGGCTGGAAATCAATCGCACCCTGGCAGAACTCCATGGCTAAGAGAACTCCACGAACTCCGTCCAACTCCACCCCAGAGCAACGGCAGAGCGGGACTTGAAAAATACCCATCAGGCGGAGGTTTCCGAATGACGATCGTCCCCTTGCGCCCAGCCGGGCCGGGGGAGCGGCTGCAGGCGCGGTGGGAGGAAGGCAGGATGGTCCATCCCTGGGGCTAATCGTGGTGACAGAACCGAGGCTCAAGCCTTCAGGGAAGCGCTGCCCTCCAGCCACGGCACTACCCGGCCACTGCTGGCCCCACGCAGCATTCTGCACCGTGGTGCCCGTGGAGGCCACGGGGCAGGTTCCCTGCCAGAACGCCCCCGGCGAGGCAGAGACGCTGAGCTACGCTTGCAGGCTGGGGCTTAGTGCTGCAACGGCTTCTCATCACACCCTGGGAGATCACGCTTCCACAACCACTCCCACCCCAGTCAGAGTCCTTCCTGCTCGGTGCTGCCGGAGGAGAGCGAGGCGGAGCTGGGTCTCCAGCATCCCCCTTTGGAGCTGGCTGCCCTCAGAGCACTTGCTCTGCTGTTCCGTGCCGACTAAGAGCCTCTGCTGACACCTCCAGCCAGGCGAGGCAGCCCCTGGGCAGGCCGTCAGCCAAACCTCCAAATTCCCTTAGACTCTGCCAGAGATTCTGCCGCACCCCAAGAACCTCAAGGGCTGCAGGAGAGGGAGCTCCTTGTCCTTAAAAGCATTTTCAGGAGGAACACGGACTCCCCAGGCAGCAGGAGCGCAGGGACCTGCCAGAACCAGCCCCTCTTGCCTGGCAACGCAGAACAACTCCAGCAGACAAAGCAAAACCACAGAGTTGCTCGGCAGGGCAAGGAGGGGCGGGAGAGCACGGAGGGAGGAGAGAAATGACCGGAACAGGCATCGGCGAGGCCAGATGGAAGAGAAGAAGCTTTGGATAACTGGCATTTCATTCCAGCAGTTGATGGTTTCTGGGCCTGCAGGGGCAGGGAGTGGGTAGGAAGCAACAACCCTACAAATCCCAGGTCTTGTGGATGTTTGGAGGCAACAGGGGCCAAATAGGCCAGCAGGTTGAGGGAGGGGATTCTCCCCCCTCTGCTCCGCTCTGGTGAGACCCCACCTGGAGTGCTGCATCCAGCTGTGGAGCCCCCAATATCAGAAGGATATTGACCACTTGGAGCGAGTCCAGAGGAGGCCACGAAGATGCTCAGAGGGCTGGAGCACCTCTGCTATGGGGACAGGCTGCAAGAATTGGGCTTGTTCAGCCTGGAGAAGAGAAGGCTCCAGGGAGACCTTATAGCACCTTCCAGTGCCTGAAGGGGCTACAAGGAAGCTGGGGGGGACTTTTTACAAGGGCCTGTAGTGACAGGACAAGGGGTAATGGGTACAAATTGAAAGTGGGGAGGTTTAGATTAGATATCAGGAAGAAATTCTTCCCAGAGAGGGTGGGGAGGCACTGGGACAGGTTGCCCAGAGAAGCTGTGGATGCCCCATCCCTGGGAGAGTCCAAGGCCAGGCTGGATGAGGCTTGGAGCAACCTGGTCTAGTGGAAGGGGTCCCTGCCCATGGCAGGGGGTGGGACTGGATGATCTTTAAGGCCCCTTTCAACCCAAACCATTCTGTGGCTCAATGAAATAGTTATGCAGGTCTGGAAGTTCCTCTGGGCTATCTTCTGGAAGAGATGATCAGGGGATTCACAGTCAGGACAACTAAACAGGGCAGGTGAAGTGCAGGGGGTGGGAAGGTTCCGGCCGTCAGTGAGCACCACTGCCAGGCCAAGACAATGGATGGAGCGAGTGGAAAGAAACAATCCTAGCCAGGCACCAGAAGGAAGATCCTGCCCAGACCGAACAAGGAGAGGACAGGAGCAAACAGAAAAGGAACAAGAGAGAGATTTGGCACCTGCCCAGATGTCATCCAATTAAGCCTGCGGCACAGTCAGGTGAGCAAGGAAACAGCAGGCACCGGCAGGCATCCGGATCCGAACGAATGCCACGAGGAGGAGCTAATTCCACCCTCTCGCTGGCAGGGGCTGGCAGAGATGTGCAGACAGGGCAGGCAGAGGATGGGCAA